GTTGGTGATGTCGGAGCGATCCTGACAGCTCCATACCGATTTGCGCGGCTGGCAACTATCACCAAGGCCGTTGTGCCTACTGATGTAGAAAGCTTTAGCAGATTTGGACTGTTTGCACTGTTGCTTCGGCAAGTTTGAACAGGACTTCGCGATTGATACTCGAGTTGAATATGCCGCGCACTGGCCAAATGGGCCTCGCGGGTCATCGTACTTATCCGCTTGTCTCCATGTCCGCGGGTTTGCCTTGCGAGGTGTCTCTGCTAGTGTTGAGCACAGCCATCTTTCCGTCCTAAACTTAAGTACGGATGCAAAAAAAAGGTGTCTCTGTCTGTCTTTCTCGGAGTCTCAGGCACTTTGCTTTGCACCTCTCGCTCCCTCCTGCCTTTTGCGCAGGACCATCATGTCTTGGTACTGCGCTTGCGGTCGGGTCGGCTGGGGCTCAGGGCTCCTTGGGCCAATCGGCTCGAGAAGCGCAGGCTACGTTTGCAAGCCTCAGTCCTTATAAAGTGTATAGCTTCGAGCCGTCTTCCTGTCAATACTTTTGTTTTATTTCGCCTCTGATCCGCTTGCTCATTTAATGCCAAACGTGACTGAGTCGGCTCCCCTCCGAGACTTGTGACTCTTGATTGTTTGTCGCAGAGCTGTCACTGAATTGGAGTGGTATTTTCCGCACGAGGCAGGTTTGAAGTCCTAGCTGAAACTTATCAGCTCCTCATCCTCATGTTTTTCATGCGCAGAGGTGGCACAGGCCTGGTAGAATTGGAAAGCGCTCTGCAGAGTCAACCCTTATCAGCACGCGCCACTGCAGGATTCAAGTCTCCATTCTCTCTACAATGGCCCTATGTTGGTCTTTCGGAGCCGTACCAATCTTGAGCGTCCAGACCTCTGCACTTCTTGCAAGCCCAATCCGAATAATTGCTGCAATCCCCAATGCTGAATACTGTGCCGCATTATGGCCCCAACAGTCCCCACGTATAGTCCGGTGAGGAAGCCTTCATAAGGCAGAAATTTACTGACAATCTTTAAACTTGGGTTAAGCACTCCATCGTTACTATCATTCATCAATCTCGATCCTTGTATCCTTGCTGTTGGGCTTCTATGATGTAGAACCCCTGGCACATAGACCTTGCAGTGTTGACTTGTTGAGGCTTTGGGCATGTCAACCTCGTTTCAAGCCATGGCTGCAGTCCTTTACCTGACTGTGCCTGGATTACACCAGCGAAGACCCCAAACACTCAAAACGACAACACTTTGTACAGGACGGAGACAACAGTTTACGATTTAAGGTTAAGGTACAGGTTTAGGGGTTTAGGGCCTGGCGTCAAGTCCCCGGCGAGGCGCGTCACAGCATCCGGCTCCCAGACTCAGACAGAGCGGAGACAGCGGAGACAACAGTTTAAATTGAGATTATGAGGGGAGATAAATCCGGCTAGTCCCCGGCGAGGCGCGTCACAGCATCCGGCCCCCAGACTCAGACAGAGCGGAGACAGCGGAGACAACAGTTTAAATTGAGATTATGAAGGGAGACAAATCCGGCTAGTCCCCGGCAAGGCGCGTCACAGCATCCGGCTCCCAGACTCAGACAGAGCGGAGACAACAGTGGAGACAACAGCTTAAATTGAGATTATGACGGGAGACAAATCCGGCTCGTCCCCGGCGAGGCGTGTCACAGCATTCGGCTCCCAGACTCAAACACAGCAGAAACAACAGGTTAAATTGAGATCATGAAGGGAGACAAAGCCGGCTAGTTCCTGGCGAGGCGCGTCACAGCATCTGGCTCCCACACTCAGACAGAGCGGAGACATCATCGGAGACAACAGTTTACATTGAGTTTATGATGGGGGACAAATCCGTCTAGTGTCCGGCGAGGCGCGTCATAGCATCCGGCTCCCAGACTCAGACAGAG